GAATGGAACTGGAAGAGCACCCGGGTGTTGCCTCCATACTCCACCCGTTCTATCCTTATGCAGCACTTTATCGATACCTACGCGCCGCAGCGAAAGGCTACACTCTAGTTCGCTGCGGACGGTTGGGCGTGTCAGCCAGTATGAGTGTGTCACCCCGTCAAAGCCGTTCTCTGCCTTCTTGTTGAAACGCGCATGCGACAAAAAGTGGGTAGAAAACGAGTAATACGAAGGATATGATACAGTATTGTCACTTGCCCGCTTCAACAACTGGTGGAGAACGAGTTTGGCACCGCGCCAAACGCAGCCGCACTGACACGCCCAACCGTCCGCAGCGAACTACACTATATTCTATGGTGGAGAGCCACCACAAATGAAAAGCGCTGATAAGTAACGTGTTGGGCTATGATTAGGCGCATGGCTGCGGAGTTCGGGCAGGGATCACTACCTTCCACCACCCCCTGTACATTTTTGATCGGAGAAGGTACCCTCAACAGCTACAGAACCACTCACCTCACGCACGGGATGGATCAGGATTCACGCAGATGAGTGTTCATGTCATTCAATCTTTTTGAATAGCTCTTTGGAGTTAGTGATAACATTTTTCCACATATCAAATCAATCCGCTAATGTCATAACCTGCAGCAACCTCCAATGAGAAAAACTGAACTGACTTGGAAGAAACAACGCTAAACTGTTCGACCATTCTTTGCGAAAGAAATCAGTTCGCTAGCTAAAACGTTGGCTCTTTGCAGAGAAAGCCTCTCTAGTGTCACTGAATCGGAGCTATAGTGCATCATTCATATCCACCTTTATTTGATTATGCAATATTACGTGATCATTGCCGTTTACCCAGGTACGCAATATTGGGAAGAAACTTATTTTGGACGTGTATGCCAATGGAAAAAGAGGTGTCGTGTTCAAGATCGTCAGCGATGAAGAACGAATACACCAGCATCCACTGCTAAGCTACGTACTCGACGAAATGGCGGCTATTAACTCAATACAAGCTAGGTAAATGCCATTCCGCTCTTCAGTGAACCGCTTCGTTTTTGGTAACTCATGAATGCACATTAGACGCATTATACACACCTTATCCCTGAAACAGAGTAGGCGTGGCATTTGAACATGGCATAGGATGGGTTACTCGTGGGATATTTCAATTTGAGACAACTGCCATCTTGTTCTGTGTGGGACAAGGACATAATCACAACTGTCCCAAAATGAAAATAATTCACGAAAACCTCGGTCATCACCACGTTGAATCCAAGAACGCGGCTCCGCTTACCCTTCCCACAGGGACTTCCAGTGTAAATCTCGGATCGCGCACTGCGGCGTTAAACAGCAGTTACCTAAATAATAAGCACGTTAGATCGACTGGATAAAAAAAGCTAACAGTCCCTCTGCGCTCAACGAACGCAGGACCCTCCCCAAAAAGTTGTGAGAATTTTGCGTTTGAGTTGGTAGAATATCAAAAGTGAGAGAAAAGGGGTGTGATGCGGATCTGACCTATACCCGCAAAGAAATGGACATTATGAGCAAGTGCGCTGGCGGCTCTCACCCCTTTGGTCTTTCTTCTTCGATCCCCTCGTCATGTGGCGACTAGTCCGGACACCAAGCTTTTTGCCATGAGCTCAAACAGTACATAAAATCACTTGCAAAAAAGGCAAGTTCATTCGTAGTGTGTTCTATATAGCAGGAATTCTCCAATATTTCCCATCCTTATATCAGTTGAACGGCATTTCCTGTCGGATGATCCACAGAACCTCCAAGCAGCAGCAAGACCGAACTCAGCTATTATATCCTATTGCCGTTCTAATTGTCAAACAATATACATATGTGTTCATAAATAGTAGTGCACTAAGAGACGGCATCGATGAATCGCTTTCTCGACTTCACTATCACTGGAGGGATACTTGAATGAATGTTCGGCTTCATAAAATGTTATAAAAACTGCCGCTCTCAGGTGTCTAACGTTTAGGTCACGTTGTACGTTTAGAATCCCGGAGCTCGTGGGAATGGGTCACACTCGGTCGGTGGAGTGAGGGTGGGCCACATTTACAAGGGAAAACATGTTTTTCATTGTTGATTTTCCGCTTCATGCACACGCGATACATGCCCCTAGTCGGTAGCAGCGCAAAACTACTGCTTTCATGGTTGATCGGATGCCTCTACGACCCCCCCCCTCCGCCTCCTTCCACTCGACGGCAATTACTTTGGGAGCATTCGCTTAGACAGACAGTCTCTTGTGGAGGAGGGCTATACCGGATGAAAAAATTAGGGAACGGGTCATGTTTGGCCGACCATTTCCGCCTGACGGCTCTACTCTACCTCCGCGTCGTGGCGAGCGCGACAATACAGAATTACAAGCGGTATGATGTGCGCAGCACTCATGCTAGTACCCAGTCCGGTCAACGGACAGTGCTGCAGGGTGTCAGCTAGCTCCCTCTGTTTGTGTCTCTCACGTCGACTACCTGGAAAGCATGCGATACTGCGAAAACAAGTATCGGGTGCAGTTTGACGACGGGGAGAGGGGGCATTTTGCACTTTCGCTACTTCCCATCGACGTGTCGACCTATCTAGGCAGCCTCTTCTCGAGTTGACAGGTTTTACCATGATGGCTAGATGAGCTTGCTCCAGCTTCACAAGAGTTCACAGGTTTCGCCAGAGTGAGACTTGGCAAACAGTATCCCTTACCATAGTAAACCGGAACTAGGGAAGCAATGATAGTACAAATTGTCCCCTCGTCGTCAAACTACGCCCAAGTATCGCTTTACACCCGCTGTCCTTATGTTCATATCAGCACGGCATCAGTATCCCTTACCATAGTGAATGTAGGGGGTCTGGTGGCTCGATCCCCCAAAATGTTAATACTGATGACATTATACATAGTTTAGGAGGAATTCCGGGAACAGTCAATCATCTACGCCAAGTAAATCATCAAGCACCAAATCAGTTCGTATTTCGGACGATTTGCCGAAACGAAATCAAGATACTCAATCGTAAGATCACCTTGTTGCCTTGATTTCATATCTAATTACTTCAACTGTGAATCTGTTCAGTTTATGCCGACATTGCGGAGCTGCCATTGAACCGCCTGATGGCAATGGCTTGGAGAAGAAACACTACCGAATGAAATGCCCTCTATTTATGAGATGTGGTGGATGCGATGAAGTGAGTTCTATACTGAAACTTGCTGTTGACCCCATCACTATCAAACTTGATATTCATAATTTCAGGTAGTTATGGTTAGCTCTCTAGCAAATCATAGAAGAAACGACTGCCGTGCTCGTGATAACTACCGAACATGTTCTCGTTGTGGAGAATCGTTCGAGAGGTCCGTGTTCCATCGACACGTGGGTAGTAGAGATTGTCGTCGTGAGTTCCTTCTGTATACAGAACCTTTTTTTGTTCCTTAGAAAACACCCTCTGTAATAACGGAAAGTTGACAAGAGGGGTCGAATCGTACTCTGAGTCACCAAGTTTTGCCTTAGCCAAGGGTACAGCATCGTGATGTGTGAAATGGTGCTGTAGGTACGACCCCCCCCAGCCCTTCGAGAGAAATTGTCCCCTCGTTCGAGAGAAGGTGTCAGCACGAGATCCCACCTGTGAGAGGATCTCGGTAGGACCCCCCCCGCCCCTTTTCCGAACACCTACCTGCCAATTTCCCCACATTTTTCAATTTTTCACCCAAAGGTTTTCCGTCGAGGGGGAAATGGGGTAGAGAGGGTGAAGGGGGTATATAGCTAATGTGAAACGGGGAATTTTCCCAGATTCTCCTAAATTCCTAGCGGGGGGGGGTGAAGTACACATGAAACAGGAAAAATCACGAAACCACGCGAAAAGTCAACAACCAGGAAAATTTTTTCCCAACGCTGCAAATTTCTCTCAAAAGCACATATAGGACCCCTTCTCCAACAAGGGCCAAATGCGACCCCCTTCCCAGCGGAAAAGTGCGACTCCCTATGTGTTTCACACAACGATGCTGTACCTTCTTAGCAATATTTCAGTAGAGAACAAAACCTGAGCATTCGCAAATTCGGTGTTTCCAATGAAAGGCAGTTACTTCCTGTTTACAGGGACGTACGCAGCAAAATGTCCACTGTGTGCTGAGCTCGTAATACCAGAAAGCGAGGAATCGTGGAGGAAACACCTTACAAGTAAGGCTCCATTAGTACTACTATGAACAACGAGCTTGGTGAAGTTGGTCAAAGGCTTGCTGATAAAAAAGAAGCAGTTTCAAGGTTTTGCGATTACAAAATTCACTTCTTCTCTATAGAACTTCCATGTCTTTTGGTGAGATTATACTGAAGATGCGATGGGGAAGTCTGGTGGTGTCTAATTTACAGATACTTATTGACCTATCCTTGAGAGAGAGAGAAAGGGGATTGCCAGAAATGGCTGCCAAAAACAAGATATTTGGACTAAAAGGCCTTATTTGCAGTTAGACAAACATGAGGAACTGGAAGTGAAGAGACACTGAGCGCGGGGGAGAGAAATCATACGAGTCACGGGAGGGCACATAGCCACAAAAGGAAAGAATGAAATAGTTCACCGTTGACTGATGTGTAGCCACTCACAAGTGGGAGAAGGATTGCATATTACATAAAGAAAGCCCCAGAACCGTGTCCCGCAATGTTCACTCGCGAAAAAGGTACAACACACCGTCTTGTTCTCAGCGGATGAAGGGACGTGCTTATGAGGCTGAGTTTGGCGACATCAGCACCTTTTCCACTAATTATCGAAGCGGGTAAACGACGAAAAGGAGGTAAATGACCGACACGACACTTTCTTGTTTCTTATCGAAAGAAAAAATAAACAAAATAAAAACTAGCGCCGGCCAAACATCTCCTCACGCCCCATCATTCGCGAATAAGACTGTATGCGACAGCGGACTTGCACTCCTTTTGAGTGGGGAGACACCGTGCTGGTTCATTGTCCTCATGATGAAACTTGATTATCAGATAATCAGTGCACATGGCATACAAATGCATCGCCTTTCAGCCTCACTGAGAGCATTCTATTCTTTTCCTAGATCGACGTGTATTTTGAAGACTGAGATGAAAAACCTCCCCAAGGAACAGTCTCAAACTAGGATCGTTCTCCTTAAGGAGCGGTGGTGCAGTGACCGTTCGTCCCGTTTTTTAGGTGCCGCTCAAAGGCACATTCCGCGATAAGCTGGTAGGTAGAAGTCCGTCCCTGAACAAAGTAACCCACTCCACCAGGAGCTGCACCACTTTCGCGGCTTCGGAGTGACGAAGGCGACCGTCGTCGGCAATGGAAACGCCCTCAGCAGCTTCTACACCCACGGACCAACGGCACAGCCCATATCATTGTGGTATCGTTATCGTATTCGTGCAAACCAAGCATGTGATCTAGTTCATCTATCTCCTCTATATTCGTTGTTTCTAGTGGGATTCTGCTACGAAAGGCTGGAGCGCAGAGAAATAAAGGCCACTGTCAAGGTATCGAGCGGTACATTTAGATGGTGATCGAAATGTGGCCGTCGCAGTCCGTAGACCATCGCAGTCTCGGCTAATGCCGTTTGGACTCAGAAGCTGCGAGCTCATTTTAAAAGTGGCAAGATCACCAAATCCGCTAAAAACTTGTATATAGGGGTAATTCAACATCCTGATCACGAATATGACATTCATTTTTGGCGCTGGCGCTAATGGATGACACTACGGTTACCTGCGCTCTGCTAAGGCTGAGCCCAGGAGGTAATCGTAGTGTCCTCTCTTGGCGCCAGCGCCAAGAATGAGTGTCATACTCGTAATCAGGATGTTGAATTACCCCTATATACAAGTTTTTAGTGGATTTGGTGACTTAGGCAATTTGAAAATGAGCTCGCAGCCGAACTGGAGTCCAAACGGCATTAGCCTCGCAGTCTCTCCCTTTTTTTGTACGCACATCCAATGCTCAAAAACAATAATGGTCACATCCAAGGTGTTTTCAACGGTTTGCCTGCATTTCCCCTTCAGTCCTACCTGAGTTAGATTATACAGACCCATATCTAGATCTATTACCCAGAACTTGTAGCTGCGATGCCCTATGTAATGGCGACATTGCAAGTGGCGTCGCAAGCGCTGCATTCGCACCAAGACCTGGTTTCAACGTGGAAATGCTGCAATATCTCGCGTCATCCAGCTATGAAGCACTAGTTTCCGCGCTGTGCCATAATGTAGATGTCCTAACCGACGCACCACGGTAATAGTCTGATCTGCGCATCTCATAACTCCTGGTCGGTCGAAGCAAGTTAGCAAGAGGCACGTATGTGGGAACAAACGGAAAGGCCTGCATATCGATTTGCTGTGCAAGTCAAGTATGGGACTCAATGCAAATGCAATTACGATTCCCGATAAAACCTCCCGAAGTTTAGGTTGATCGACACCAGATCCACTTCGAAATATGTGTACGCACCACAGACGCAGTTAATGTTAAACTCAGCTGCACTCTTGTTCGCTGCGGATGCTGGGTGTCAGGGGTTGGGTCTTGGCACGGTGCCAACTAGCCTCCACCGACTGTGGAAGCGGGAACGTTTACCACATTTAGTGGAAAACGTTCTGGCGACGCCAAACCCACTTCCATGACAAGTCAATATGTGTACATGTGGATTCACAACTAGGCAGAAAAGTGACTGGTTTTTTTTACTTCGCTAACACACAACACATACACACACACACACACACACACACACACACACACACACACACACACACACACACACACACACACACACACACACACACACACACACACACACACACACACACACACACACACACACACACACACACACACACACAATATACACACGCATAAACACAGGGCCATTATTCCGAATCTATATTTGCTTTGGTTGGCAAGCGCAATCCAATACCGTTGTTCATGGAAACATTCCAAATCGATACAAATCAGACTCTCTCTTTCGCTCAAAGGCACGTTTCGAGTTTTAGAGCCGCCAGCAAGTCCCTAACCAGGAAAGGATGGTTTGTAGAAGTGGCCTCAGAAAGAGATGTATACCGGCTGCTGTGTCTTCGGTTAGCTACTTTCAAATTCTGCCCGCGCCAGAATCAGCTAACGACTCTGCGCGAGACAGAAATTATGGCGATCTTGTTAAGGCCGACCACCTGCTCGAAAACACGCAGTGCTCAACGGGTATCTAAAATGATGGATGTGCTCACTGAGCCATGGTCCCATGGCGCAGTGGAGAAGCGAGCCACCTGAGTGCAATGGCTAAGGCTTCGGGTCATTCGTCAAGTCGTCGTTTTGCATGTTCTCATAAATGCTATCTGCCCATCCTAAAAGCACTTGTGGGGCCAGGGGACTTATATTTACAGAACAGTTATTTCGAGAGGTGGAGCCTACCCGGAACCCCTGAGGATAGTGGACGATCGCTGGTTTTCGTTGTTGATGTGCCATACTGACTGCCATCATGGTATGGAAGCCAAAACTCAGTTGAATGCTCATGTTTCTGCGATCCAAGCACCGTCCAGGTTACCAACAAGACTCGGGGGGGGGGAAAATTTAGCGGAAATCTTGCATGCCCAAAGCAGCTTGCATCGGGCGCACGTGCGTGTTCCAGCCGACTCAGTCGGTAATATGTTTGCTGCATCTGTGTTACCCCACTGTGTCGAAAATAAGGTCGAAACCTTAGATTTGGTTCGAAACTTGCCTCTGTGACTAATTTGAGCCCCATAACACGAATATCACACTTGTTCGACGCATAAACGCTTGCCAAGGGAGTTGCAGGTTCCTGCACACCCTGCCCCTCCAGAATGTGAACAAGACATTTTTATGAAAAATACCTGCAGTGATGATTTCCAGAGCACCAGACCACCTCTAATTCCAGATTTTAGCAAATTTGGGGGTTTTGGTGTGCCTCACATACATGCTGGAAATGGGTGTGACCTGGTCAAAATTCCTGCATAACTTTGTCCAGGAAATCGTTTAGCAGATATGGAGGGCAGATTTGTAATCAGCGTCCAAGGGCCCATCGGGCAGTATACATCTCATTTCGAATGGCCACTTCGACCAACCATCCTTTCCTTGGTAAGCAGCGGGGTTGGAAAATGAATTTGTACGTACTAGTTAACTTCGGCGGCGTAGCAAGTCTTCCATCAGGTCATCCAACCACACTAGGTTTCAAGGCTCGCATAGATCATTAGTTATGTCAAGACCTACTTTCAGTATAGATGAGGGATCATTGAAGGACTTATCGAATGCTTTACGTATTCTTTACTTCGGCAGTGCTGTAGAGCTTTTTGCTTTGTTTTGTGGAAGTTTCAGCAGTCATGAGATAGTACTCAGAACTTGGTTTGGGCCAATAGCATCCGCTAAAAGGTGGCGATTTGGAAACTAACGATAAGTTGAGTGAGACGATGTTGAAGGACCACTGTAACATTACTAGACATATTTACCGTCCCTCTGTGAGATATACCGCGTATTGACCTGCACTATCGGGAAACTTGCACGACTCCCGTTAACTTCCTCATGAAGAATAAAGGAGAGAGCAGCCGAAAACGTCCTGAATATCATAACTTTTCCGGCAAGCTAGAGGAGAAGATTCTTTGGATCCTAGCTGAAGAACCACACAAAAACAGCGAGAAAGAAGGCAAGCAAGACGACGGATGTCAAAGTGGGTGGGGTCATTGGTGCATGGGCGGGCTGGCTATATGGAGGACAACTGTGCGCTTCAACACCCTTACAAGTTTACGAGCGAAACTATTACGAAGACTGTCTGTTGTTGCTCGTCTACCTTTCTGACACAGGGTTAAGATTAGAATAAATTGCGAAATATGTTTTTGGAGAGAAAGTTGAAGTGAGAAGGTATTTTACAAATATGTGCACATGAGCGCAATTCAATCACAGCCTTGGACGAAACAAAACATATTCGGAAATCACCAAGCTTTCCAAATAAATACACTCTCAATTTTGAAACATACATCCGTAG